CAATGGGAAGGAGTGGAGTCTGCCTCCCTGGGGTGGATGGCTCAGGTGGCCCAGGTGTGAGTGGATGCCGCACTCCTGGAGTTATGCTTGGGAAAAGCAAAGACTTCCTTATCAATGGTTGTAGAAAGCAAGGTTTCTCAGCTCTGTTTCCTCAGGGTTCATTAACTTGTCCTCTTCTCCTGTAGCCAGCTTCACAGCTCCAGAGCTGTGCGGACTCCCAGGGAACCATCCTCAGGAGGGCATGGTGTTTGGTGCGGTGTTCCTCTGCCTCAACCTGACTTAAGTATTGGACTTGCATTTTCTGAGTGAGACTGTGGAGCACACACAAGGCAGGGTGGTGGTGTCTAGAGACTGAGTGTGTGGGGCAGGTGGCTTGGCCACTTGGAGCTTGTGCCTGCCTGGAGCAGCCTGGGTGCCTTGGAGCTGAGCCTGGCCTTAGCTGCAGTAGCAGTGGCCTTGTCTGGGAAAAAAGGAGCCTCTCCACATGGGGCAGCACTGGGACTTCTTGCCTGTCATTTCTGAGTCATCCCCAGAGCCTCCCAGGAATATTCAGCCCTAGGACAGGCACCACAGGTGCTCTGACAGTGAACTGCCAGCAATTGATTGCACAACAAGCATGCACACGTGGTGGTGAAGCATGTCACAGAGTTAATAAATTCTTCAGAGCTTCTAGAATTGTTCAAGGAATTTTCCCAGACTCAGACACGGAAATTAAGTTTGAGAAAGGCAATCACATTCAACAGAGAAGGATTTTTTTATATATAAAGTTTCAGATGAATCAATTGTTAACAAGTAAGACTTTAATATTTCCTTGTTATTGAAGACGTAGAATTGTGTGCATAGGAAAGAGTATTGAATTAAGTAGAAACCATGTAGCCAATTTTAGTTTCTTGTGGGCCTCTACATCTGATAGGAAAATTCAGAAGAAATGTTAAAATTCCATTGTATGAATTCACATTTAAATTTAAATTCAAACTTGGATAAAAATGATTTGTCTAGGGTTAATGTTTTGTTCTTTTTATTTTTTTAAACTATTTATTTTAAAGGCAGAATTAAATAGAGGCAGATACGGGGGGAGAGAAAGAGAGAGAGAGAGAGAGAGAGAGAGAGAGAGAGCGAGCTTCCATCCACTTGTTCACTCCCCAACTGGCCGGAGTGGCTGGAGCTGGGCCAGGCCAAAGCCAGGAGCAAGAAGCTTCATCTGGGTATTCCACATGCATGCAGATGCCCAGGGGCTTAGGACATCTTTTATTGCTTTCCCAGGTGCATTAGCAGGGAGCTGGATCAAGAGTGGAGCAACCAGGACTTGGACCAGCACCCATATGGGATTGCTGGCACTGCAGGCAGAGGCTTTACCCACTATGCCACAGCACCAGCCCCTAATGTTTTGTTAAAAATTTTTCACTGAATTATCAGCTGAAGTTGCATGAGAGCTTACATTTTGAAACTAGTTTAGCCCAATGTTGTCGCAGTTATAAGATATTCTTGTTGCTTCTGCAACACTTGCATTGGTAAATTCTTCTCAAAATTAAAAAGTGAAGTTGCTCAAATCTAATGAATGAGTTTGCAGAAAAGTGGGTTTGGAAATTTTATGACCAAGGAAGGTATTGTATGAATAAATTATTACTCTATTAAAATTATGGCACTGAATACACTTTTTTTGCAATTTGCAAACTTACATTGTTATTCATGTATGATTTTTGTCTCTATTAAATTCTATAAATGATAAAATATTTTAAAGGTAAAAGCTGTGTATGTTTCTACCTTTAACAACACATCCCTGCTTTTTTAACATAGTGTCCTGCATTTTCATTTTGCACTGGACCTTGCATGTTTTGTAGTCAGCCTTGTTATGGCCACTTATTTATTTGGAAGGTAGAGTGGGAGGGAGAGAGGGATAGAGACTGATTTTCTAACTATTGGATCATTGCCCAAATGCCTTGAATCGCCAGACCTGGGCCTGGATGAAGCCAGGAACCAGGAACTCCATCTGGGTCGCCCATGTGGGTGGGAGGGACTCATGTATTTGGACTATCACCCATTGCCTTCCCAGGTGATTAGCAGGAAGCTGGATTGGAAGCGGAGTAGCCAGGACTATCCCAAGCAGCAGCCTAATTCACTGTGCCACAACACCTGCCCTTTTTTATAAGTAATTCCGTCTAATTCTCACTAGTTAACCTGCCAGGGAGGTGTTACCAAAGGCTAAAAGGCATGTTCAAGGTCATCTGGTTACTAAGTGGTGGGAGATGTAATTTGGAACAAAATCAACCTCTATGGTCACACAATCACTGGTGTTCTGATAAATTCGCCTCTTCATTCTCCACAAACCAAAAGCTAGAGTAATTCCCAGCTAAGCATCAGCCTCCCTGGAAGCTACCTTCCTCCTCTCAAAGCTCCAGAGATAATTGGAGGGGTAAGATAAGAATTTGTCCAGGCCTTATGGAAGGTGAGCAATGAGTATGCAAACTACTGCCACCTGGTGGCAGCTGTCAGTCAGTGTCCATAAGAGGTAGATTCCTCTCATGCTCCTGTTTGCCTGAGGGTGGGTGTGTGTGCCTGAGGCTTCTGGTAGTTAATTGCTTTCCCCTTAATAAACACCGTGAAGTTTCTAACACTTTTATTGATCATCTCAGATAATCACCTTTTTATTTTTAAAAGCTATTGTGTGTCCATTTTCCTTTTTCCATTTTTATTCTTTTTATTTACCTTTGCTACTGAGTAGTTCTCTTAGCTTTCTGTTGTGGTGGTGTGGTGGTTATTGAAAATTGTCTTTCATTATTTGAGAAGCGTTTTTACCTTCATATGTGACATATATATGATTTTTGATGGCGTGGAATTACTCCAGTTTTTTATTCTGGTATGTAATTTCATTAATTAAAAATAGTAAATTTGTGAATTTATAGTCTCACTAAATGTGGAAAGCAATAGGTCACTATTTCCTTCACTCTATCTGCCCTCCCCCAACTTCCGTCTGGCTCCCAATACACAGAGGTGCCAGGAAGCTTGAGGTGTTCACGTAGGCCACTCTGTTTCTTCTCTCGGCTTCATTTCACTATTTGCGATGGTGAAGGTGCAGCTTACTGATCTTCCCTCTGCAATCTCATTCACAACGAATGCAGCTTAGAATATTTTCTTACTCAAATACGTGTTGTTCTTGTGGCTCTTTATATTTTCATTTCTCTCCTTATCATGACCAGTTTGCTTTATAGCCTTGGACATAATTTATAAAATGTGTCATCACCCTTAACTCTGTTTTCAGTCACACTAGTTTGTCAACCCAGGTGTGTTTTTATTAATAAACTTTCTGCTCATTATGGGTCATGGTTTCCTGTTTGCAATTTTTTTTTTTTTTTTGAAACAAGATACTACAAACCTTGGGTTGTTGAGTGAGGATTTTGGCTGCTTCCTTTTGAAGATCAGCAGCCTTTAATCTGCTCACACTGGGATTTCTTACAGAGCAGCCCCTTTCAAGAGTAGTTTATAAGAGTTTTGTTCGAATCCTTGCTGAGCAGTTTAACCAGGAACCAAATAGTTGCACTTCATATACGATGCTTTTGTGGGGCCCTGGTGTTTCTGCATGTATCTAGTGGAAATAGAAATTATTTTCAGCCCTGTGTTTGATCTGGAATTGTCATCCAAAATTTGGGGTGTCTTTGTTTTCCTCTGGCCTTGTCATGTTTTATTCCAAGCATGCCCAGATCAGTGGTGGAAGGACCTACACACACACACACACACACACACACATGTAGCACTCAGGAGCTCTGTCTTCTTCCAGATGCCTCCCACTCTGGTATTCTCCCTGGAAATGGGGGTGTCTTGTGCCACCTGGACTCTGGTGTGAGTCCCGTCAATGGGGCAGCACTGTGGGCCTCCAAGTCCTCCTCCCCATGCCATGTAGTCAGCTGGGCAGTCTCAGCGCCCACTTCATTTGTCTTTCTTTCCACAATCCCAGTCCTACACTGCTTTTGATCAGTGGCTGAAAGCAGCCATCTTGCATCTTTTGTCTGGTTCTCCATGGTGAGGGCAAGTCCTCTAGCAGCTAATCCTGTTGTGACGGAAGGTGAGGTGCTCCCAGCTCTCTTGTCTTTCCTCCCTTGTGCCTTGTTGGAGGCTGGTGTCAGGGAGGATGGGTAGTTCTGTATCCACATTGAGACAACACTCAGGCAGGAAACGGTGGGACCTCGAATGACTTGAATGTGTCTCAGCTCAACACATGCTTGTGGATCGTCTTTCACACCCAGAGCATTCACTTAGCAGGACACAGATGACCTTGGTGAGGTGCTTGCTCCTCAAGACCCTGCGATCCGATATGGAGATTGGCTCCACCCAGAAGTGCACGGTGTAAAACCCCAGCAAGATTCCGAGAGGATGACTCAGGCCAGAACTCTGTGGTGCCTGGGAAAGATCCTCTCTATTTATTTAGGAAATCAGATCTGTTTCCACAAAGGAGGCAGAATTGGGGACGACGCCCTTGGGATGGTTAAAGTGTGGAGATGAGGTTGGAAGGCTGATTCTGCGTCGCATGTGAGTGAACCAGAGCAGAGTCATGTGGTGGGAAAGCAAAGGGAATATCTGGGAGGAGCCAGCTTCCCTCATTCCTCTGAGGAGTAAAGTTTTCCAGAGGATTCAGGATTAGGAGAGGAAGTCCAGGGAAGAGGGTGTAGAAAATTCAAAGGCAGGGGACACAAGAGAGCAGAGAGAGTATTGCGGGAGGACAAGGAGTCCAATTTCACTGGGGTATAAAATTGACAAAAGAAATATAACATGATATCAATGGGTGCCTTAGATTCCTGGGGAGATTTCACTTTATTTAAATGAAAAGGACCATAAGGTTTAGTTGTCTATTGGTAAACCACTACAATAACCGAATTTTTTTTAACTTTTATTTAATGAATATAAATTTCCAAAGTACAGCTTATGGATAATAACCAGAATTTTAAAGTGATCAAACTTCTACCGTTTTTCTTTAAAAAATTATTTTATTTTTACAAACGTTAAGAAGGAATTCCCCCACTTGACAAGGTTCTCCTGAAGTTCTGGATATTTTTTATTTCTTTGTTCGGCAGCACTTTCGGCCACGCAGAGAACAACGGCCAATCTGTTCCTCCTTTGGAAGGCAGCTAAGCAAAGCACATCGGCCCCTTCTTAGCTTGCAGTAATATTTATGTGCTGCATTTATGAGTCCTCCATTGCCTGCATTGAAAAGCAAAGCATTTGAGAAAGTTTAGCAGGAATTTTTGTACAGATACAAAGCTGTTGGAATTCCTCAGATAACACATCTGTTGCCTTTCTGTCATTTCTTTCTTTTTTTCTTTTTCTACATCAAGAGTCAATCAAAAAGGTAGTACTAAGCAAGCATTAGACAATGTTTCTGCAGGTTGAAGCTCCACTGTGGACCCACAGCAGTGCTGAGAAAGGAGGGAGACCATGGGACCTCCTATAGGGATGTGTGATGGGACCGGGGCAGGGGAGCAGAACTGCAACTCAAGTGGCCCAAATATTCTCTATTCACCATTAACTTAGCAAAATGGAGGTCTGAGCTTCTGTTCTCAGATAAAATCTTCCCTGTTGGAATAAAAGGTTTTTATATTACCTTTTTCACATATAAAACAGACTTCCAATGACAAGGTGCTTGAGGGGTGCAGTTTTGTGAACTGTTTAGTTCTTAAGAGTGGCTCAGAAAAGTCTAGGAAGCCTGCTTTAGGCTTCTTGATGTGTATTGTCAGAAAACAAAATAGAGTTGTTTGTTCCCAAGCAATGAAATGTGTTTTACCAACAAAAGGATGTCATTGGACCATTTTGCTTAGTGAAAGTGAACCAGTCCCCAAAAGACCAATTCATTTATCCTAATTTGTGTAACTAATATGCAGAGTGCAAAAAAGTAATCTGTATGAGCAAAATTGACATTTTAGATTTTATTATTGCTTGTAGCCCTTGTCTATATTCTAGAAGAACAGTGGTTTTTCTACTTACTACTTGCTGAATTATTTATTTAATGGAGGGTTAAGTTTGTGATAATGTAAATTGAAAGTATTCCATTGTAAAAGTTAAAAAAAAAAAACAAGAAAGGCAGGAGGAGGGAGTGGGAGAGAGGGAGGGAAGGTGGGGTGGGAAATATAATTATGCTCTTAAAGCTGTATATATAAAATACATGCAATTTGTTCCCCTTATATGACTAAAAACAATTTTAAAAATCTCCCAGAAGAAGGCAAAAGAGCTGACTGAATTCCACATTCCCAGTTCCCTCGCCCCTTGCTGCCCAGCCCATCTTACCTGGAACAGGCACCAAGAATAGGAAGAGTAATGCAAACAGGAGATAATGGATCCTCATGGCTGACAGGCTTCACAACTAGACTGGATTGAGAGGTGCTTGCTTACTTTATAAATGTCCCAGCCACTGGTAGAAGCAAGCGATGGCTGCAATTCTTGTAATGGTACAGTGATGACACTATGACATACTTCCTGATGGCATCATACTGGCGCTTCCCAGCACAGCATACACACCCACTCACCCAGGAGCTAATTACAAGCCTAATGGTGCCCCAAAGCCTGACAGGGCTGTGTGCCTCTCCTTGTGTTGTCTGAGGCTTGTCTCTATGTGGCTCAGGTCTGGTTGTGGGTGCAGACAGGGCTTATGTGGGCAAGATCTTGCTTCTTTTGCAACTGGTCCAAGTAGCTTGGGGCTGACTTGTCCACACTGTAGTACTTTTAAACTGTTTGCCTCTTCCTACACTATACCCAGCATTTTA